GGTGGATGCCAAGGGACCAAGGCAGCAGGAGCGGGTACCTCCCACCTCCTTGGCTTTGGCCCTGTGGGAACAGCACCCAGCTGGCCACAGCTGTGCCCACTGGCCACCAGTAGAGACATGTGGAGGGCAGGCTGGGCCTTTCCTGATGCTCTGTCCTTGTGGCAGTTGGCGATGGCCTCTATGCCTTGTGTTGCCTGCTTTGCTATTGGCTTGGGGCAGATCTGCTGGTCTGTGAGGGGGTTCTTAGTAGGAACATGGGGTAGGAGCACAGTGTTATAGCACCTCCTGCTGTGGTCTCCTGGACTCCCAAACTGTGCCCTCTTATCACTTTCCATCTGCTCATCTGCCCAAAGGGGCTGAACTCTGAATGCCAGCGAGGACTTGTGGTGGCAGCTGGGAGCTCAGCAGCATGTTAAGAAGCAGGCGTACAGGGCAGTACTTCGTGTAGCCTGTGGGGGCAGTTCTAGATTAAGTTCATGGGCCATACATGGGGGCTGGGGATACACGCTTAGAGAAGTATCCAGCCATGGGAAATTTTGGGGGAGGTGGTTCTGAGAGGGAGCACGTTAATAAAATACCACTTACTTTCTGTATTTGCTCAAAATAAACAGCCCCTGCTGGAGTTTCCCTAAAGCCTCCACAACCCCCTTCCCAGGAACATTTCGGACATCTCTCTCCCTGTGTCTCAAAGAAGCGGTGCCATTTTTGTCTTTGTTCCTAAGGCTTATCACGATCAACTGGGACCAGCAGAAACAGTTGGGAATTTTGGGTGGTTCCTATTTCTGTTTGTTGGGTTTTCCCCAGGCCTGGCCCAAAAGAGGCAGAGCAGGGGGCAAATCCCAGAGCAAGGCCCACAGCTTTGAAGGAAACTCCAGACCCTATTGGCATTTCCCTTCCCCTGCAGTGAGAAGGAAACAAGGAGGGGCTCACTGGGCTGGGGGTGCAGAGCGGGAAAGGGAAGGGAACGTCTGCCACCAAGCTGCCTTCTTCCTCCTTGAGACTGGCAGGGTTGGGCAGAGAGTGAGGAAGACTTAATGGAGGGCTAGGGCCCGTGTTCACATGGAACCCACCAAGCGGGGCGCTGTGCCTGGCCTCAGACCAGCAGTACACCAGAGCTGCCTTGCTGGAGTAGCATCAGATCCACGCCTTTCAGCTTCTTCCTGCTAAAGGTTTTTCTTATTAGATTTCTTGCTGGTTCCCTGTGGTTTAGGAATAAGTCCCAGAGTTGCTTTCAGTTTGAGTTCCTCTTCCCTTTCTCCTCCCATCTCCTATGTGACTCTTTTGGCTGTGACTTGTCTCCCTTACTCCCTTCTTGGGGTCTCCCTCTCCCACCAAAGATTAAATTTAAATTGCCTCTGAGTCTTGAAGGAAACCAGAGAGGGACCAACAAAGGGTCCAGGGTTGCTCTGTAGTTGAAGTATTGAAAAGCAGCTGCTGAAGGAGGGATGGAGGTGGAGATAGAGAGACCCCAGGAGCAAGAGGCCAGGTCCCTGGGATGTCAGGACATTACACAGGATTCTCAGGAGGAAGGACAAGGGAACTGTGTCGAATACTCACAGCGTTACAGACACAAGAGATTCATCATTTAATCCTCCTAAAGCTCTTTGAAGCAGTGAGATCCTATCTCCGGTTTATGAATGCCTTCACTGAGATTAAATCATTCTGGAGAGTCCGAAGTTGATCTTGGGCCCTTCACCTTCTGCTCAGCCAGGGTCTCAAGGCATTAGCAAAACTTAGCTTCTGCCTTTGAGGGCCCATGGTCTCTGTGGAACCACTGAAGAAAAATGTCAAGGAGCTGGGCTCGGTGGCTCAACCTGTAATCTCGCGCTTTGGGAGGCTGAGGTGAGTGGATTACCTGAGCCCGTGGGTTCGAGACCTGCCTGGGCAACTTGGCGAGACCTCATCCCTACAATAAAAAAAAAAAAAATTAGCTGGGTATGGTAGCGCGCGCCTGTAGTTCCAGCTACTTGGAAAACTGAGACAGAAGGATAACCGGAGCCCAGCAGGTCGAGGCTGCGGTGGCCGGGAGCGGCCACTGCACTCCAGTCTGGGTGACAGAGTGAGACTCCAACTCAAAAAAAAAGATTTAAAAAAAAAAAAAATGTCAAGGAAAAAACTTTTGACTAAGACTGGAACTGTGTCAAGTTTGCTTCCTGGCTGTCCCCGGAACTCAGGAAGTTGTCCTTCCTAAGAGTAGAGTGGCTTCCTCAGGACATTGGAGCCCTGCCGAACTTACACATGTTATCAGGTGGAGGCAGAAGCCCTGACGCCATATCTGGCAGGAGGAGAAGTGTCCCTGCCAGGCCCTGGTCCTGCCCCTTGGCAGGTGGCTCCCATCCGCAGCCAGTGACCTGTTTCTTGTGAGAATTCTGGAGCCTGGGAAATGCATCTCCTTCCCCATCACACTTCAGCCCAGAAGAGACTGAAGGCTGGGATCAGTGTCCAGAAAGTGCCACCCAAAACTCTAGACAGGAGGATGTGATTTGGTCAGTGCTGCGTCATACTTTTGCCACCCGTTTCTGTACTCTGGGGCCACCATTCCTGGGGATCTAGAGTTTGACCAAGTCTTTGATATGTCTTTTCCATGCTCTTAGACTGGGGCTTGCAAAGGGGGTAACTTTGCTCAGTCTTTGAAACCCAGAGCGGACCAGGCTTTTCCTCACCATTCATCTGGTGGGGAAGTAAATGTGAGCCACAGCAGTTGCCAGTGGGTGGTTGAGAGGGGAAGTTGGCATAGACAGGATATGATGTCTGCCACAGCAGTGACAGGCTGCCCTCTCCCCCTGAAGCAGCTTTCTTCCCATGGAGACAACAGAAAACTGTTTTCATGACACAGACTTGGGAGAAAGAGTCAGATGGCAGTGATGTGCTCAGAGCCAGGACCAGTCCTGAGGACTACTTCTGTTCAATTCTGTCTTGGGTTCAGCTGGCAGCAGCCTGGCCCAGTTAGGCTGGAGACCTGCTCTGGGCCTGCCTTTGACCTTTGGGCCCATTTTGTTGAGGCCTCCCACTCCCATCCTGCTATCCACACAGGTATGCTGAGATTGGCCTTTAATAAGGTAATTCCTGAGAGAATGTTGCCGGCTTGCATTTGCTCTACTTGGCATCCATTCTACATTGGCTGTGGGTTAGCTTTGCCCCTCTTACCTGTGGAAGTTCAGACAGATTCAGGACCAGCGGACACCCTGGGGAATGGTGTCGTGTGGTGGTCTCTTCCCCTTCTTTTCTTCTCTCACTTGTACTACCTATGTTCTTTCATTTATTAACTCGGTCCAGAGACCTCAACCCTACTTCCTTTTTTTGAGCCATAGTGACCCTGTTTCCATCCAGTAGCTGGGCCCATAGCTCGAAGCTGGGACCTCATGCCCATGGGTTTACCATCACTTTATTCCCCATTAGAATCATGTTGGGAGTTAGAGACAGGATAGTCACAGCCCACTGGGGCTAGATGAGCACGTAGCTGGCTTAAGAGTAGTCTGAAATAAGCACATAATAGCTAGATAGTACAACAGATATGCATGTTTAAGGATTTTCTTTTGGTTCCTTAGAAAGTTGGAGGACCTCTTTGGTATTCTTTTGCTTCTTTGAGAATAATGCAAGGCCTGTGTGACTCCTTGGGGGCCCTGGATGCATTCAATTCATGTTCCCAGGGATGAGGATGTCAAGGAGTGGGCTGAGATAAACCAAATGGTCATGCTTGGGTTACCAGGAACTTAGAGCTGAGCTCAGAGCAGTAGCCGAAGGAAAGATAAGGGCAAGGCTTTCCAGGTACTTGGTGGTATGCTATAGGAAGAGGTTGGGTTTGTGGGAGGTCACACGAGTTATCACATAGCTATGACATTTCAGGTGGGGTGGGTCATATTTGATTTAGGAGTATGGGGGTTGTTATAGTGGTTTGATTAAAGTGTCAGACCACTTTCAGAGGTTAAGGGCTGTGACCTGGAACAAAGGGAGCCCAACTGATGAGACGACAGGCTGGCTGGTTGGGGATCAAGATAGGGAATGTAGCCTCCTGGCATGGGTGGGTGGGACTAGTCCAGGGACACCTAAGGCTTCACTTACTTACTCCCGCATTCACATTTCATTCGTTTATTCATTCACCAAGCAGTTGTGAACAAAATGATTCCTGGGCATCCTCCAATGTCTTATATTAGAGTGTCTCAAGAAGGGGTTAGGACGCTTTGCTGTGTCTGTGTTTTTTTTTGAAGGTGAGAAGGCAGGATTTATTGAGAGAATAGAAAAGCTCCCATAGTGGGAGGGGACCCAAAGGGGTTGCCCTTTGCTGTGTCTTAATTGGGAGGTGTGTCATAAGTAATTTGCTGCTAACAATGAAAGTCCTGGACTTTTGTGGGTTTTTTAACTCAAAAATGTGAGCAGTTACCTTGATGCTGTTATCCTTATTCACCTGTGTACTGATTTGGGGAAAAGGAGTAGAGTCATAACATCTACACAGGCTGTGGGTGGCTCAGGATTTGCCCTTGGGAATGCATGGTGCAGGGAAGTCACCCCTCAGGTCAAGGGGGAAACGCAAATTGAAAAAAATGTTGTTCTAAGGTGACTTTCAAATTTTTTGACCTGTCTTATGCTAAGCATGTTTTACAGCATGACCTATGTGTATGACTTGATTGTGTATATATATACATGAAATGTGAAAGAAACAAAAGCTTCATGAAACATTATTTATACTTTCGACTTGCAGTGGATTTTGGTATCTCCCATTCTATTTTAATCTGCTCATTTACATTTAAAATAAAATTAAATTTGACTCACTAAATTGATTCTATGACCTATGGTTTGGACACTGCTCAACCAAACTTGTCTAACTATGAAGGGGACGCCGGAGCACTGTCCCACCTTCCTGAATCTTCCTTACCAGCAACAGAGCTTCAGGGTGAAGTCTAGGGGCCCGGGAGGGGGAAGCATAGGCAGTCTAGCCCTTCCTGACCTGCAGGTGTGGGGGAGGTTTCAGCCTCTTAACTCCAGTTCTCTCCTCAGAGCTCCATGAACCTGCCTCCTGACAAGGCCCGGCTCCTGCGGCAGTATGACAATGAGAAGAAGTGGGATCTGATCTGTGACCAGGTACGGGGTTTGGGAAAGGGCCAGGAGGTAGGGAGTTGTGTCTTTGGCTGGACAGGGGAGCAAGACCAAAGGCAGTGACTGCAGCCGTGGGTCCCTGGAGGAACCCCGGCCTGGACTTGGCCTCAGTTTGTGCTCACTTTCTTTTCCAAGAGGGCTCATAACAGAAACAGAGCTGGTGGGCCAAGTTCCCCTCAGGCTCCTGCAAAGAGCTGTCTTGGCTAGGGCAGTGACTCACATCTGTAATCCCAGCTCTTTGGGAGGCTGAGGTGCAAGGATTACTTGAGCCCTGGAGTTTGAGACCAGCTTGGGCAACATAGCAAGACTTCATCTCTGAAAAAAAAAAAAAAAAAGCCAGGTGTGGTGGTGTGTGCCTATAGTCCTAGCTACTTCAGAGGCTGAAGCAAGAGGATCACTTGAGCCCAGGAGTTTGAGGCTGCAGTGAGCTGTGATTGTGTCACTATACTCAGCCTGGGAACAGAGTGAGACGCCAACGCAAAAAAGAAAAAGAAAAGAAAAGAGCTGTTTTTATTCCTTCTGATGGGCAGTGGTGTGTGATGTGAAAGGTGGTTTGTACAGGTTTGGGATGTGAGGTTGGCTCTGTAGGGCTAGGAATGAGAAGCCCCAGTCGTCTAATTTCCTGTTCCCAAATCTCAGAACAGTCAAGGACTAGCTTTCCCTGCATGAATAGTGTTTAGGGCTGGAAGAGAAGAGATATCATGACTTTGCTTGGAGTTGAAATCTTCTAACACTTGTGACCTGGCTTTCCTCTGCACACATCTGAGGATCATGTGTCATATGTCTATGAACTCAGGCCTGTCTGTGGGGCTGGGAGAACTGGCTTTTACTTCTTGTCTCTTGGCCGGTGTGGAAGTACTTGGCACAGAATGTGGGCAGTGTGTTTCCCTATGACTTTTCCATGAACCGTTTTTGCATTTTTCAAGCTCTGAAAAAAATCATAATAGCTAGTGTTGACTGAGTGCTTATTATGGATCAGGTACCTACACATACGGAAATATCTCACTTAATCCTCACCAAAACCCCCCGAGGACGGCACCATTGCATTCTATAGCAGAAGACCCAAAGGCTCAGTAGCTTGTCTGACGCTGTTAAGTGACAGAGCCAGGCTGGGCTTAGGTAGCAGGTGCCAGTCTATGCAAACCATTCTGTTCCACAGCCTCCCCACATCCTGCCACTTGACCTAGGCTAGGTCTGTGCTTCAGGGATCCTAGCAAGCCCTTTCTCCACCAAAGGCCCACTTCCCTGTGTCTGCATTGCAAGGAGTTGCTTAGCACCAGTTTGGGTTCTGGAGCATAGGAGCCCTTTGACACTGAGGTTCTTTGATTATTAATGTCTCAGTCTTTTCTAGGTCATGTAATTTTTTTTTTTTTGAGTCGGAGTCTCACTCTGTCGCCCAGACTGGAGTGCAGGGACCACTCCCGGCCACCGCAGCCTCGACTTGCTGGGCTCCGGCAATCCTTCCGCCTCAGCCTTCCGAGTAGCCGGAATTACAGTCATACGCTACCACGCCCGGCTGATTTTTTTATTTATTGTAGAGATGAGGTCTCACTGCCCAGGCGGGTCTCGAACCCGCGAACTCAGGCAATCCACTCACCTCAGCCTCCCAAAGGCATGGGATTACAGGCTGAGCCACCAAGCCCAGCTAGGTCATGCAATTTTAACTGTTTCTCAGACCTTTCTTTTTTTCTTTCTTTTGCTTTTAGGTTCTGTTTCCTAACATTGTGTTATTCTCCTGAACTTTCTTCAGGCCCTTCGACTCTGCTTCCTCAGTGCCCTCCTCAGCTCTCTGGGTGTCTGCATGTGTGCATATATGCATGTTTCCCTTACAGGAACGATTCCAGGTGAAGAATCCTCCCCACACCTACATCCAGAAACTCCAGAGCTTCTTGGATCCCAGTGTAACACGGAAGGTGAAGTCTGAGACAGAGAGGAACCGTCTTGCTGCCTTTGTAGTCCTGTGGGGCTTGGGGGCAAACCCTTTTACTTGGGGATTGGACGTCTGTGTGTGAGCAGTGGGAGCTGGGTTTCTGGGTTCTGCGGCCAGGGGCCTAGAGTGGCTGGCCAGTCATGGAGGAAAAGTCTGTAACTGCCCTCTTGTGTTCCCCTCCTTTTCTTTTTCTTCTCTTTTTACAGAAGTTTAGGAGGAGAGTGCAGGAGTCAACCAAAGTACTAAGGGAGCTGGAGATCTCACTTCGCACCAACCACATTGGGTGAGTTGGATTTGGCCACCAGGCCATGAGTTTCACCTGGCCCCAGGCCATAAGCTACCAGGTCTGGTATCCTCTGAGCATAGTTTGCCTGTTTGTCCTCCCTACCATGGGGCATATTTGCCCCTTGAATGGCTTCTGGCTCCCCAGAGCTTCAGACTGTTTCTTTTCTGACTTTTCCTTCCCTTCTGTTCTGCCAGCTGCTGACTGGATGCTTCTGGCAAGCTTGGGGCCTCTCCTGGGGTCCTCAGCCTGCGGCTTTGAGTGGAAGACATTCCCACAGCTGAGCCTGGAGCCTGCCTGTGGCCTGGTGCCAGGCCAAGTCAGGCCCAGAGAAGGTTGGGGGGCAGGTGGGGAGGACGATATATTGCACTGGGTAACTGAGACCTAGTTCCTATTCAGTGACTATTTGGACTTTTTAGTACCTAGATTACTTGCTTGTTTGGGAAAAGACAATCTTAGTTTGTGGGCAGAATAAGCTTCCTGAAGCACCAGGAAAGATGTAAGGCAGTGGGAGCCAGGAACTGAATGTTTTCACAGACACTGGTGCGCCAGCCCACGGACAGGGCCCCTAGGAACTGTGAGTCTTTTTTTCCAGTCTCTGAATGGGGAACCAGGAATTGCTGAACAGGCAGAGGGCTAATGCATCAGATGTACAGTGAAGGAAGGCGATGACTTCAGTTTTATGAAACCGTAACCAGCAAGGGTATATATAGTGAAAGTGAGAGCGAGAGTGTCCAGGTGCATGCGTGTGTGTGTGTGTGTGTGACTTATACAAAAAGGACAGCGAGAAAAGGACAGCAAGGGACACATGATATAGAGCTGCAGTCGGGTGGCCTGGCCCAAATGTGAGGGCTTATATGAGTGAGCAGTGGAGGCTGGGGTGGGGGTGGGGCTCCCAGGCTTCCTGAGAGCAGAGTGGAAAGAGCCAAATGATATCATCAGCCTTTCCCCTCCTGTCACAGCAGCGGCCCACTAGTCCACCCCGAGGCCCAGCCTGCCAGGGCTCTTTAGAGGGAGGGGACACCTGTGTGCAGCCAGCTGCAGCAGCCATCACAAGGGAAACAGCACAGGAGAGAACAGGAAAGGGACGGTTTCTGGCCTTGCTCCCTGTGCCCTGGTAGACAGAGTATGGCTTCCATAGGCATTTGTGAACCGAACATCGAAAGCCACCCAATGGGAAAGGTGTGGCCAAACCTCTACTTTCATTTGATGACTGCTTCATGGAAGGACAGGGCTGTTCAGTCACCCTGTGTGTGAGGGCACAAGTGACACATGGCAGCCCGAGCACCACTTGCCATCCTGAGCACCACCCACCACTCTGTATTCCTCAGTAGGGCCTTTCCCTTCCTCCCAGCCTCTGTCCTCTTTGTTAACTCCTGCTGTAGCAGGGGTGAGGAGGGAGGTCTGCTTGTCTTGGGAGAAGGCCACAGAGTAGTGTGTGACAGTCCCTTCTGCCCGCCCCCTCTACCTGGTACCTGCCCCTCTGGCTGCTGGCCAGGAGCAAGGGCCAGAGCAGCATGGTTCCCAGGCCTGAGGCCTCTTGGCAGTTGACACACATGTTAGAGATCTGACCTGGTCCTTGGCTTCCAGGAATAGCTTGGAGCCTGGCATTTTAGGAGCCTCTGCCATCTGAACGAAGGCTTCTCCAGGCAGAGTTATGCAGGAGGACCAGGATCCTTCTGGATTTCTGGGCAGGAGGAGCTTGTCAGACTGTTAGACTGGTGCGTACTTCAGGGTGGTAGGAACCCAGGGCAAAGTCAGGAGAGGAGGGTCCTGCTTTGGTCACAGCGCGGTCTGCCCCAGGACCTGCAGAAGCTGGGTGTGCAGGGGCAGCTGTTGGGAACTCGGCTCTGGAGGAGGGCGGGCTGGGAAATGGGATTCCAGAGCTTGCCTAGCTCCTCCTCTCTCCCTGGTCTGTATTGGTTTCTCTGCCTTGCCTAAGTGCCCTTTAACCTCTCCTCAAAGTGTCAAGATCCCGAAATAGCAGTATAGACACAGACAGGAAATGAGAAGGGGGTGGGGAGCTGGAGAGCAGACAGACAGGAAACGGGAGGCCTGTCAGCCCCCAGAGAGGAAGCTAACTTCAGGCAGCTCGGATGTCAGTCAGCTTCAGCCAGAGCCTGCTGCCAAATCTCAGCCGGGCCTGGTGCTCTGGCCCCAGTGTCTCTCCATAGTTCAGGGTGTGGCCAGGCAACATGGCGCTGGTTTTCCAGCTGTGGGGGAGAAGCAACCCTGCAGGGCAGCTTGGGTGCAGCTGACCTATAAAGACCCCCAAACATTCTGAGGAGTAGAGGCTCTGGAGTGTCAGGCTTTCATCCTGAGGGTTTTGTGTCTTTCTGTGCTGTGGATTGGACCTGTCACATAACAGTCTTCTAGATTTGCTCTAGACTTTCATTCCAGGGATATCTCAGCCCAAAAGAACTGAAGACAGAAGGGCAAAAATGCCCTAAGACATGGTCTCTAGGTACCTTGTTGTCTGCCTTCCTGGCTGAAAGGGCCCAGGTCCTCAGTTTGAGTGGCCGTAGTCATTCTGGAGTTCCTTGAGTTCTTGATTGTTCCCGAGCCTTTTCTGGTTTTGCCGAACTCCCTGATTAAACACAGAACCCTTATATGTCCCTATTTTGCGAACTGCTTTCCAAAACTCCTTTCCCTGAACTCGGTAGAGAACCTTTGGCCCAGACCTCTCCTTGGCCCTTCCTACCTGGATCTTGACTGAGACTATAGTCTGACTCTGTCAAGCTGGCTTTGCACCTGGGCCTGTGGCAAATGCTCTTGCTACCTCTCCAGTTCTTCCAACAAATGTTGAGCAAGGACAGTGTGAAGGGATACAGAAAATCATTGAGCCAGGGCCTTGGCCTTTAAGGAGGGAGTGCCTGGAAGCTTGTTTGACTGAAGCACTTTCATGGTAAAGTGAATAGTATTAGAAGGGCTGGCCATAGTGTTATGCACCTGTAATCCCAGTTACTTGGGAAGCTGAGGCAGGAGGATCGCTTGAGCCCAGGCTGCAGTGAGCTCTGATCACACCTACACTGCTGCACTCCAATCTGGGTGACAGAGTGAGATTCCAAATTAAAATAAAAAATTAATTGATTAAAAGGGCCTGCACTTTCCTCATCCCTGGCTCCCTTGCGTAGGGGAAGTCTAGGCAGTGACATGACCCTGATGGGTCTGTCATGGGTTTTGGTCTTCAGAATTTTTCTAGTCTTATGCTAGATCCAGAAGCATCTAGGAGGAGGTGTTGTTGGTCAGAGGTCTATCACCCTTCTTACCCTTGACTCACTTAGCAGACCCCCTCCACTGTGTTTCCTTTATCTGCAGGTGGGTGCGAGAGTTTCTGAATGATGAGAACAAAGGCTTGGATGTGCTGGTGGATTACCTGTCCTTTGCCCAGTGTTCTGTCATGTGAGTACCACTCCGGGGCTAAGGTTGGGGACCAACTGGGGAGGACATAGTTCCACTCTATTTGATGGGGAAGAGTGAGAGTTCAACAGTGAAGATGGGAATGGGAATCTCAGGACAGGAGTTAGTAAGTAGCCCACGCGGTGGTGTGGCAGTAGACAGGCAAGCCAAGGGGGTTTCTAGGGATCAGTGAAGAATGCTACTCAGCTGGAGCAGAAGGTATGTTTGGGAAGCAGGAGAGTGATATGGAAAGGGAGCTTGGGATCCTCACCCAGAGATTCCCAATGCTGGGCGTAGCGCCATCCAAGGAAATGACCTGGCCTGGAAGAGATGTGCAGGTGGGATCCATTCATCTTTGCATAGCTGAGTCTTCAAGAAGCAGCTTTGGTCTCAGATGTTAGAGGGTTACTCTAGGTCATTGTTGAATAACTCAGAAACAGTGAGCATGACTTTTTGACCTGGATGGGAAAATGGGGTATCCTTCAAGTGGACTGAGGGCTTGAAGGCAACCATAAGTGAGTTCGCAAGGAAGAACAGCATGATATAGTGAAAGGAATGAGGGCTTTCGAGTCAGACGAAGCTGGATTTGGGTCTCAGTTCTGTCATTTACTATCTGTGGGACCTTGAGCAAGTTTATGTCCTCTTTTATGAAAAGGAGTTCACATTGCAGGGTTGTTGGGAGGATCAGATGATAATGTGTGTTAAAGCACTTAGTAGTGTTTAGAACATTATAGGTCTGTATTGTGGTGGCAGCTCTATTGTTAATTAATTATTGTTCAAAGTGGTATACCCGACCATAATTACCTGAATATCTGAAAGAGGAATTAGAATGATCATAAACATGGTAACTAACACACTCAGATTCATGCCTAATACAAGCCAGCCCTAGGGAGACTCATCTTCCCTGTTTGCCCATGACTTCTCCCAGTTTTCCCCCAGCATCCCAGGAAACCTCTCAGTCTTGGGCCTTGGTCCTAGCCTAGACTTCCACTTTTCTTTTTTTTTCTTTTTTTGAGTAGGAGTCACCTAGGCTGAAGTGCAGTGGCATGCTCATGGCTACCGCAGCCTCTACCTGCTGGGCTCAGGTGTGTGCTACCATGCCTGGTTTGTTTTTTTATTTATTGTAGAGACAAGGTCTCACCAAGTTGCCCAGGCTGGTCTGAAATCCCTGAGCTCAGGCAATCCTCTCGCCTCTGTCTCCCAAAGTGCTGGGATTACAGGCCAGTGCGTCTGGCTAACTTCCACTTTTCTTACTGCTGTTCCTTGCCCTCTTGGCCATTTTCCTTTGTCCAGTAGGTCTCGAGTCTCATCTCCTTAGGAGTTTAAACTAACGTCTTCCCTGTTTGGCCTTTTTCCTTTTCCAGGTCATCCTCTGTTAAAACCAAGAGTGGTACACTCCCCATTCTTGTCCCTGTAGAAGTCATACCTCATGATCTGATCCCTTTAAAAACCACTCTTTTGCTGGGCTCGGTGGCTAAGCCTGTAATCCCGCGCCTTTGGGAGGCTGAGGTGAGTGGATT